TATATATTTGTTTTTTTGTTTTTTGAGAAATATAACTTCTACATTTATAAATTATAGGTATCATAGGATTCACTTTATTTAATATTTTTTTAATATGTAATTGCCAATGTAGATGTTCGTCTACAATTAAACCTAAATATTTGAGAGATGATACTTTTTCTAGTTTAATATTATTAATTTTCAAATCAATATCACTTACTACTTTATTTTTTTGTGTGAGAATTATAAAATTAGTTTTATCGATGTTTACTTTTAATTTGTTAGAGTACAGCCACCTGAGATATTTATCTAGATCCTCATTAATTAGAATTTCCAATTCTTTTTCATTTTCACCTGTATACACTAATAATGTATCATCGGCAAATGTATAATACTGGGCCTTGAGGCCAGCAATTTGCAAACTTAGAACATATAATGAATAAAGCAGGGGCCCAAGGACGGAACCCTGTGGCACCCCATAATTGTTTTGTAGTGTCTCGCTACAACATTCACCCAATTTGACATACTGGCTTCGACTCTTAATTTAAGATTCCAGAATATTATAAAATTTACCCCCAAAGCCCATATAATGTAGTTTTTTCAAAAGAGTATCTATGGCGACTGTATCAAATGCCTTACGCAAATCGATGGAAACCACAACTACAATTTTTTTTTGGTCCATGGCTTTGGTCGAGAAATTTACAAAATCGAAGGTCGCAGACAACGTACTACTTTTCTGTATAAAACCATACTGGAACTGATCACTCAAAAAATTATTTTCTATGAATTGTGTCATTCTTTTTTTAATTACCTTCTCAAGAATTTTGGAGAGAACGCTAATGACAGAGATCGGTCTGTAGTTATTCATTAACTTTTTATCACCGCTCTTGAAGATGGGACACACTTTACTCGTTTTAAGCTCTCTTGGAAAAATTCCAGTAGTTAATGCCTGATTCACTAACGTTACAATGGGTTGAACTATAAAATCTTTAAGGTTAAGCAAATCCATAACCGATACCTCATCGTTACCAGGTGCCGAGTTTTTTTTCAGTTCCAATATAATTTCATTTATTTCCTCTCTATTTGTTAAATCTACATTAGAGATCACGATATCACAGTAAATTTCATCAAAAGTTGCATTTATACCCAACCTATTTATATCCCTACATACATCCTTAACTATAGATTCCCCTACTTTCACAAAATATTGATTTAAATAATTTACAATGTTCTTTTTTTCATAAATAATTCTACCATTCATATCTATACATTCAATATCAGTGGCTTCTGTTTGTTTACCAAAAAAATTGTTGATAAACTGCCACTGCTTTTTGGTATCAGTACCTGCTAATTCCCATTTTTTGCGAAAGTATAAATTTTTTGCAGATTTTATTAGATTATTGACCCGATTTTTATACTGTTTAAATTCAGCATCGAACCGAGGAACTTGTGGGTGTCTAATTTTTCTTTTGTACGCTTGATCCCGTAATTTAATCATGTCCAATATATTTTGATTAATCCATTCATTCCCCTTTTTAATTTTTAAAGTTTTAGATGTTATACAATTGTTCTTTGTCTCATTAACTTATAAGTTTTTGAAACGTATCTATCTTTTTGTCTTTGATTTTATTACTGAATTGGTGAACAAATTGTTTATAATTAATTGCTTTTATATTGAATAATACTTTTGGTTTGAATTCCTTAACATTCCTCTGCTTGATACTGAATAATATGCGATTGTGATCCGAAAGTGGGTTATCTTCAATACTCAAAGATTCAACCACATTAGAATTTATGTCATTCAAGACATGATCAATTATGCTAATATTATTAATTGTTTCTCTTGTTGGATGATTTTCTGATATGACATAACAAATCTTAAACCCAAGCAAGCTTAGATGATTTTTATAATCTGTTGTTAGTTTACAACTCTGCAATAAATTGATATTGATATCTCCCACAATGATATGTTTTTTTTGATATTTCAACATAATATTTTCAATATCGCTAAAGAATGTTACATTACTACAGGAAGGCGGTTTATATATTGCACTTACTTTTAGATTTTGTTCACCTATGTTAACACATACCCAGTCTATGACTTGCCTATCTGATGATCTATCTATTTCTCTCACTTTGATATGAGATTTTACATAGATTGATACTCCGCCGCCTCTTCCATCTCTACACTTGTGTATAGCTGCATAATTTTCAATGCTGTACAAATGGCATTCTTCATTGTTTAACCAAGTTTCGACTAATATTAGGACATCACAAGCGTTACTTATCACAAAACATTCCAGATTATGAATTTTATTCCTTACACTCTGAATATTCATATAGACAACTTTTATAGAATTTTTACGAGGCCATATCTCCTATTGTTCTTGCAGGATATCTTCACTATCCACTAGAATTACCTTCGAATTTTCATTCTTCCGTAAAAAAATATTTCCATTGTCAATCCAGAGAAATTTAAAATTGTTTTCTTTCTTAAATGTTCTGGCTGCTGTATGCAACTTTATATTGTCTTTTGTTAGTTCGTGGTTGAGATATATTTTGGTGTTATCTTGAAAACCTAAGTTGCTACTTTCTATTTGAAGTCTCTTTTTTGATTTAATCATCTGTTTTTTGTCGTTGCCATCTTCAAAATCTATTTTTATTGGGCTGCTGTTCTTCTTCCCCAATCGATAGGCAGTGAAGCTTTTCTTTATTGGGGCACCCAAATATTGTCCCATTTGTTTAACGATATCCTGCAAATTTTCGTCTTCTTCAATTGGTATACCCTGAACCAATAAATTGTTCACTAGCTTGCTTTGCTCAGACTTGTTAAGCTGTTTTTTGACTTCTTTCAGTTCTTTTTGGACAATATCATTAATTTTCATTTGTTCTTCATACTTCCTTAGCAAACTCGCATATTTTTCTTCCATACTTTCTAACTTATCCATAATATCCTCCAGAGTAACATTTTTTTTTGTGCTTCCCCTTTTCTTTGTTATGCATGCATCACATGTCCACGGCGCCGGATCCTTGCTGACTCGTTGGTATGTTTTTTTTGGCATGGAAACACATTCCCTGTGCTTCCAGCCAAAGCATGTCTCGCACAATAAGGCGTCCTGGTTATCCTCTACTGCTGATTTGCATGTACTACAGATTTCCTTAGACATCTCGCCAACCGACAACACTGCACAGTACCTACGCTTTACGATGAATACCGTCCGTGAATTGACTTTGTAATTCGGCAATATTAATTAATTTATTATTATTTACGTTCCTATCAGAACTAACTCAAATTAAAGCAAGGTAATTAAGTATTACTATGCACACATATACCAGGGCACTTGTTTCACCAATTAGTTGAATATTTTTTAACTTATTTAGCGTAATTTTTAGCACCGACTTTTCGACAACGTGTTCACTGCGTCGCTTCGCTTCACCTAGATGTGAAACATCTGTATGTGCAGCATCGCTAAGCAGTGTTTTTATTTGTATTTGTAGTTTTTATAATTTAAGTGTACATTAAGAATTAAGAGCAAGAGAGAGAAAAAAAAAGAAAAATAACAAAGTAACAGTTCACATATTGGTTGGTTTTACAATTTATCAGTCCCACACAAACATGCAGACAACAAAGTCTGCCCTACAAACACCACGGAACACTTAGCTAAAAAACCTTTCAAATTGATGAAGACTCTCATAAATAACATTTTTACTTAAAATTTTAAAACTTCTTATTGAAGAGCAATTTCTTACTTCCTGTGGCAATAGGTTGTACAGTTTAGGGCCAAAATAATTTATGTATCTTAGATTAAGATTATTAGTACTTATTGGTAGTTTAATTTGCCTGTCGCACCTCGATCTTGTTTCATAAGTATGATCAGCTAACATTTTCATGTTAGGTCGAGTGTGTATATAGGAGCAAACTTTGAGAATATATATTGATCGAATGTTAAAAATGTCTCTGTCAAAAAGCAAATGTGTAGGATACAATCTATTTTTTTTGAGAATAATTTTTATTATATATTTTTGTATTATGTTCAATTTGTACAGGCTATTATTATAAAGTCCACCCCACACCAATATTCCATATCCTATTATTGATTCTACAAATGCTTTATAAACTATTATAAGCGTTCTTTTATTTAAAAATTCTCTCAATAAATAAAACTTATGAATGAGTTTGTGAATTCTATTGGAAACATAATCAATATGTGGTTGCCACTTAAGAAATTTATCAATAACAATTCCGAGGTATTTCGTTGATGGAGTTTCTTTAATACAATGGTTATCTACGACGATGGAATCATATTGTGGTCTGTTTGCACCAGAAAGTGAAAATGCTACGTAGTTCGTTTTTGCTAAGTTTAATGTTAGCTTATAAGATTGAAGCCAGTTCTTAATTTTCGCCAAACTATTCACGGTCTTATTCCTTACACTATCCCAGGTATCTCCTGAGACAACCAGAGCCGTATCATCGGCATAAGATACAGTTACGCCCTCGACCTGCAACCTCAATAATGAGTTGATGTATGCTATGAAAAGTACTGGTCCCAAGACTGTTCCTTGTGGAATGCCAATTTTTATTTTTTGTTTATTATTCAAGGTGTTATTTAACTTGACCATTTGAAGTCGCTTTGACAAATAGCTTCTAAACAACTGTGAAGCTACTCCTCTTATTCCATATCTTTCAAGCACATTGATAAGCTCATCATGAGGCACAGTATCGAACGCCTTGGTAAGGTGCAGAAATACAGTTAAACATTTTTTTTTTTGAGTTTAGATTATCCACGACTTCAGTTAGCAATTTGTGCATGGCGTCCTCGGTACTACACCCATTCAGAAATCCGAATTGGTTTGTCGTCAATTTATTTATTTAATAAACACGATTAAAAAAAGACAAGATACATCAACTGGTGATCCGGTTAATTGAATCAGCGTTTCCAAAAAGGCCTTTTGTTTTACTTTTTCTTATGAAAATATAATGGAGATTTTTAAAAATTAAAATCAAAAAACACCCAACTTACCGATTGATAAACTTATAAGACAAAACCGCAGCCGCATCTCTACATTTATCAGGAACAATCGCATAAGTTTTGATCACGTCCAACACTCTATCCATCATAGACTTTTTCGAATCTTCGTTCTCGTAGAACCCATCAAATCGTGAAAGATGAAAAGGTATCATTATGATTATCGATAGCCACAATAGCAAAATGTATCTTGTAGCCCAAGTATCTGAATCATTAGGGTCTTGGTTTTCAAGCAGGCTCAAAACTGGCTCGAAATCAGCGACCTCGTGAGGCAAATGCTTGATTATATCCTTGTACCCACGCACATTGACTATGACAAACATGTAACTAAACGTAACATGTTTAAGCTCCATAGAATTTTCATTATTTCTTACGATTTCAATGAATTTTTCCAGAATTGAAGCTATATGGGAGTCGAGCAAATGGGGCTGCTCCTTGTACTGGCCGAGAATAAAAGAAAACTTTTCGTATGCCCTTTCTTGTAGGCTCTTCGAATCCGAATGGATTAGGACTTTGAGGTTATCGATCATTTTTAAGACTTCTTCGTATTCGGAGAAATAATCTAGGGCGCAACCCAGACCGAAAGGCTCTTCTTCCTCTTTTGGGGGCTCATCTTTTTCACCAAGAACAACCATAACTGATTTTTTTAGTATTTATATTTGTAATCAATGAATGGTGTTTTGTTTATTTATTTTTCATGAATGAAAAATTTGACATTTGACAGTTTAATGCCAGTTTCGATATTGAAAATTTTGGCAACAGTGCAAGAGGCTGTTAAATAATACGCTTTATAATAAATTAATTTATTAATAATTTAAAATCCACAAATCAATGGAATGCCTCCTATTTTAGTATTAGTTAATAATAATTAATTTTAAAACAATTGTCTTGATATAATAAAAAAAATATATATAAATTAATTATTGCTTCAAATAAATACTTGTTCACTTGCTAATCTATCGGCAAAAGGACTAACAATTTCTTTGGTAGCGAAATAAAATACCAATCCAAAAGTAATGGAAATTGGTAATGCAGGAAGGGCCTTTTTAAATATTGCCAATAGCAATAAGGTTAAACATAATCCCTATGGAAAGAAAAAAATTAATAAAATTTGTTTAAATAATCAAGCAACTTACAATCAAAATAGCTACAAAACAAGCCAATGTAGTATTCCAGTCTCCATATGATGAGGCTTTACCAACAAGTACACTATAAAATATAAAATCTCCTAGTCCCAACTTTACACCTCCTATAAAAGTTATCTCAAAATAAAACCAAACAAAATAAAATATTACTACTTACTTTCTTCTTCTTCTTGATTACCACCATGTTGGTCATGAATTTGAGTCCTCACTTGACCACTGGGTGCTTCATGTACTTCTAATTGCCTTTGAGTACCTCTATTGGCATGATTATTAACCCATTCCTGGGTAAATCCGTGATCAGTACTGTTGGATCTGGACATGTTATTTTCAGTTTCGTTTCCTGTAGCCATAGCAGTGTAAGCATACATGTATGTTGCTAGAAAAGTGATTTTTAGCCAATTATGTATATGTATATTATGTTTCCAAAAAACTGTTGAGGAAAAAATGTTGAAACTTTTAAAAAAGGAAGAGGAAGGTTAGAACCTGGTTATACTAAAATTTCGAATCGATCCAACAACCACAACAAGTTCTTGGGCATTAATATTGAAAATGACCCATAATAATAATTTACATAGGAACATTTACTCGCACTTTTATATTTTCCCAAAAAGTGTTGAGGAGAAAATTTTAAAACTTTAAGTAAAGAAAGAGGAAGGTTAGAAGCTCACTATACTAGAATTTCAAATGGATCCAATAAGCACAAGAACAGTTCTTGGGCATCAACTTTGATAATGACCCATAAAATCAATACAAATAGGAACATTCACTCACAGTCAAACGCTTATATTTTTCCAAAAAATTTTTCCAAAATGTTGAAACTTTTAGAATAGAAAGCGGAAGGTTAGGAGCCTATTATACTAGAATTTCGAATGGATCCAACAACCAGATGAAAAGATCTTAGGCATAAACTTTGAAAATTACCCCAATCATAATTTAAATAGGAACATCCATTCACAATCTTATATTTTTCCACAACACTGTTGAGGAGAAAATGCTGAAACTTTTAATAAAGAAAGAGGAAGGTTAGAAGCCCATTATACTAGAATGGATCCAACAACCACTTGGGCATAAACTTTGAAAATGACCCAAAAAATAAATTCAAATAGGAATATCTTCTTGCACTCTTATATTTTTCCAAAAAACTATTGAGGAAAAAATTTTGAAACTTTTAGGGAAGAAACAGGAAGGTTAGCTCATTATACTAGAATTTCAAATGGATCCAACAAGCACATGAAAAGTTCTTGGCATCAACTTTGAAAATGACCCATAAAATCAATACAAATAGGAACATCCATCACAGTCACACTCTTATATTTTTCCAAAAAACTGTTGAGGAGAGAATGTTGAAACTTTTAGGAAAGAAAGGTTATACTAGAATTTCCAATGGATTCAAAAACCACATGAAAAGTTCTTGGGCATAAACTTTGAAAATTACCCTAATAATAATTTAAATAGGAACATCTGCTCACAATCTTATATTTTCCCAAAAAACTGTTGAGAAGAAAATTATTGAAACTTTTAGTAAAGCAAGAGGAAAGTTAGAAGCTCATTATACTAGAATTTCGAATGGATCCAACAACTACATGAAAAGTTCTTGGGCATAAACGTTGAGAATGACCCATAATATTAATTTACATAGGAACATCCACTTGTACTCTTATATTTTACCAAAAAACTGTTGAGGACAAAATGTTGAAACTTTTAGAAAAAAAAAGAGCAAGGTCAGAAGCCTATTATACTAGAATTTCAAATGGAACCATTGGAACCAATAACCACAAGAAAACTTCTTTCTTGGGCATAAATTTTGAAAATGACCCTGATATTAATTTTTTCTTTTTTTTTTTTTCAATTCCAGACTTTTGACTGTCTCTTGATTCTCTTATAGAAATAAATTTTATTACAGGCTTTTGACTGTTCCTTGATTCTATTACAAAAAGAATTTTGGTTGGAAACAGAAATTCAAGAGCCCAGAATAGTTGAGAATGGAAACTAAAGAGAAGAGAAATAGGGACAAGAGTGTTAAGGAAATTTTATACCTAAATTTTCTTTTCTATTCCAGGCTTTTGAATGTTTTGTTTTCTTATCTAAAAATAAATTTAGGAAAAAAAAACAAAAATTCCAAAGCCTGAAATAGACAAAAATTAAGCTGACTATTTCACTAGTGTATTACACTGGTTATACAACTATAGAAATTTTTTAAAATTTCAAAGTATTAAAGTTTAGTTCGTTATATAACCTTTTGAATACCACTCGATGTGCCAGGATTACCTAATACTTTTACCTGACACTCAACGCGTTACCAGCAACACCGTAAAAGTATTATCCAGTAATCCTGAAACCTCTTGTGGTTTCACATTCGACAATAAATTCAGTATTCAGCTGACAATATTGCTACCTGGACAATACCACTGATCTAAAAAATAAATGGATAAGCAAAGAACGCTTCAAATACTGCTAATTTACGAGGTCATAATCCAAACAAAAACAACTGACTGGGACAGCGGTGAGCGTGTGCAGTAGATACACGTACTGTGCGTGCACAAAATCTGGCCAATGAAAATGAAGGAATTTCAAAATTTAGAACAGTTGTTTGAAAGATATGACACTGCGCAGGCGTTAGGCTGTTCCGTTGCACAACTGTTCATAGAATATTGACCCCAAATTTTAGCACAAATTTTGCCAATCAAGCCGTATGATTGTTTATCCATTTATTTTTCAGATCAGTGGACAATACTAACAACATGGTATTTCAGCCACCATTTTTTGACATTGTCAAAATGATATTTTTAATTTGAAATTTTTATTCATATTTTTGCATTCTATTTATTTTCAAAATCTTACGTGAAATAGTCATGACGTATACCACTCGAGAAAAAATTGTGTAGGCAAAATTGTTCTCAAGGTTTTATTAAAGTTTGTTGCTTTTCGGCAATTTTGCTCATGACATTTTTGTCATGAGCGAAAATTGCCAAGCAACAATATGACAATAAAGCTGTTTTTGAATTTGAGTGATTTGAATTTGACTAATTCACTAGAGTGTTGTACACTGGCAAAATGTCATAGGAACGGCCGGTTTCCAGGAAACCGGCCGTTCCTATGACATTTTTGCCAGTGTACAACACTCTAGTGAATTAGTTCAAATTCAAATCACTCAAATTCAAAAAACAGCTTTATTGTCATATTGTTGCTTGGCAATTTTCGCTCTTGTCAAAAATGTCATTCGCAAAATTGCCAAGCAACAAACTTTCATACCAGTCGAAAATTCTGCCAACAAAATTTTTTCTCTTGTGGTATTATATATGAAAATTTGAAACTTTCATACCTTTCGAAAATTTTGCCGACAATTTTTTTTCTCTTGTGATATTATATATGAAAATAAGTGATCTATACCGAGATCTATACATGTATTTGACTTTGAACAAGTTACCTCTTTAATTAAACCTATACAGGGTGATTTATGTAGCCCGAGCATTAGATTGCAGGTGGATTAAATGTGTTTTGTACTAATCCACTTGAAAACTGGACAACTTCAAATGCATGGGCTATATTATATTGTAGTAAATACTCACATGAATAAATCAGTGCTGGAAATATTTGTTCATTCCTCTCTTGGGCAGTTTCCACAAGAATTCTAAGAGGTCCTTTAGGAGTTAGAACCGCAATTAAATCTGAAATATATTCTCATTTAATAGCTGATTAAACAAGATTAATCTTTATATACCCCAAATTGAAATAACTGCCAATACAGCCCAAGTAGTCCATTCAGGTAGATATTTAATGAATACCAAGGCCATAAGTGCCGCTACAAAAATCAAATAGGCTTGTTGCAGAATCAAAGGACCTTGCCAATGGATGCAAATCATGCCCATCACTCCAAAATTCCACATTAGTATTAAGGCAGTTGGATAGTCCATTGGGATGTTGTAGGCTCTCAAAATTTCTCTAAAATGTTTCAATTATACAGCTTACTACTATAACTTTTAAGCCTTTTGTCCAATTTGGCTCAGATTTTCAAGATTCTGTTTTTAGGGGCTATTGCTATAGCAGAAGGGGTTTTCAAGGACATCAATTTGGAGATATCACAGGACACCCTACTTAACTGCTATAGTAGTACTTCTATAGCAGTATAGAGACTCTGACATTACTTATAAGAAAACACGTTACAAATCTAATTTTTTTTTTATCATTTCATAGGACAGTGCTCAACATTTTGAGGGTTTGCTGTGGGACAGTAAAATTTGTTTTTCTACTGCTATAGCAGAACTGCCCTATGTGTAGATAAATGAATACATACTCCAAATATAAATAGCTGAATATTGATAGCAGCATTAAAGATGATACAATTAGCCATCCGTGTATTATTTTATAACATCTATGTTTGTATAAGAGGATCAGTAATATTGTCATTCCTACAATTACTGCCATTAAAATAAGGGCGTTTGCTACGGCATTCCAGATTTTGGTGCTTGTATCTGGGCTTTCTTCATGAAAAGGTGTGTACACACTAAAAAAATTGTATTAATACTGTTCTTACAAGAAATCACAAACCAGCCAAGAGCATTTTTTGATTGGTGCAAACTGTTTTCAACCAATAAAATTCACTCTTGTGATAATGAATCTGATGACTTACAAATACATATCTTTAACTGAATAAAAGTTTACAACATTAATTGTAGCAACTACCACAACCATACAAAGTGATACAGGGGCGAATAATTTGATAACGTGACTTGCTCCATATTTGAGTTCTTCCTCTTCTTCGATGGGTTGTTGGTTTATTTCCGGAGCTCTTTCCTGCATAAATATTGTTTAGAGGATTCTCTAGTATACAGGGTTTTTGATTTTGGAAACTAGGGTGGACTAAATGCAAGGATTTTATAAAATGCATAAAGTTGATGACAGATTATTTTTAGGCTCTTGCTTGTGCAACTTTTTCCCCTATTTGGTCCACCCTGTATCTTCAATAGTTTCCAAAACCCCCTGTATAATTAGTTTTAATTCATTGTTCACCTGTCTGGAATTAGAAGGGCCACCCTGTTGTTCACCATCGTCAGGTTCTTGCCTTTTGCCCCTTTTTTTCGGAATTTCGTGAGGGACTTCCAAGGGGTTCGCATTGCTGCTATTGGTAGCGACATGGCCGTCCATGAGTCTTGTGGTCTCTGAGACGGTGTCGATATCACTTTCACTATCGGACATAAACCTTTAAGAATTTGTGCACTATTATTGTTTTCTTTGTAATTTATTTATGATAAAAATGAAAACAAATCCTCCCAACCCTGTCATCAAGCTGTGGTGGGGTGGGATTCCTGGAGTGCGTTCAAAAACGGCAATTGCTAATACCAAAACCTAATATTCCCCTTCTACCGGCGATGCCAAATCTGGTGTGAATTTGCTGGAACGCCAAATACCGTTTCTCAATATGCAATCCAAACAACGTGACATTCAATATGGCGTGGCGACCATACATGGACCAAAAAACACAAAAAATATCTAGTCTCTGATATTCAAAACTAACTTGCTGGCTGCCACGCCATATTGAATTTGGTCTCATCCAATCAAAATTCGCATAACCATTTCTAGACTCGGTTGAAAGAGCCTCCAAAAGTTACTTTACCGCGGCCGATTTGGAACGTGTAAAGCCAACCGTTTTTGGCACGCTGGAGCCGAACTTGAACGCAATATGCCAATTTTGGCTTGGCTTTAGCCGTTTTTGAACGCAGCCCAGGAATTTCGATTTGTTGATAGTTTGACTTGAATCATCTGAGTAGGGATGCCCGAAAAATATCGATGTTTTTCAAACATCGATATAAAGTATTCGATACATCGATATTTTTACATCGATGGTATTGTTACGATACTATCGACAATTATCGATGTTTTTGAAACGATATTTTGTGTGTTTTACAAATAGTGATTTGATTTCCTTTTTCCAATTTAGTGCATTCGTGAATTGAAAATCTAGAAATAAAATTTAAAAAATTCGCGCCAGTTCTGCAAATAGAAAACGCTATTGATAGGTTTGTTCCAACCCGTCAAAAAACCGTCCCAGAACAGTTTCGAAACCACTCTCCACTCTGTATACGAATTTTGGTTTCTGCGCAAAAATTTTAGGTTTTACGCTTTCGATTTCGATATCCTTGCTTTTGTTGGTTGACTATTGAAAAAAAAGAAAACAAAAATAGAATTGATCTGAAACAAAAATATTTTGTTTGGCTGATAATGAGGAGACATAAATAAATACAAAATATTTTAATTTTTATTACGAATTTGAATTAATTTCTTTCACAATAATCAGAACCACTGGTTGAAAACAAAAACCATAATTTAATTTACAAACTAAACCAAAAATCGATGTTAAAAAAACATCGATGTTTTTCTATCGATTTTTTCTTAACATCGATATCACCATAGATATCACCTTTCGATGTTTTATCGATACCAAAACATCGATGTTTTCAATTAGATGGGCATCCCTACATCTGAGTGAATTCAGTCCAATGAACTATAGCTAAAAACTGGAATGCGCACACATTGCCATATCTGCCAAAAAAATGTAGCCATGAAAGACAGATGCCACAAAGGGGAATGTTGTTTTTTTCTGTTGCTCGCTGTCATATGACGTTTTCGAAAGTTTTGTCATATTTCCCTTCACAGGTTTCATCAATTGGAATACGTGTTGGAAGCAATTTTCGCCATTTAACATAATGAGTGCGACAAAAACAGGTATCCCCTCCGCAGCAGCCGCACTAGGCTTCACGTTCGTCCTTATGTGTTAGCATTCCAGTTTTTGGTTATAGTTCATTGATTCAGTCAGAAAAAGGCTTATCGATACGATGTATCGATATATACTCGTTCGATGCGTTTTTGGATGGTTTTTGGTAATCGCCGCCATATTGGTTTTCAACTGTTTTTAACCATTGCCGACGTCATTGTCGTCAGCTCATAAGGCAATCAGCTCATAAGGAGTATTTAGTATTTACCAGGGATGTGCCGTAGACTTGAAATCTTTGAATATAAAACTACAGGAAGGAGCGTTGTCTATAGTCGATTAAAGGCGAATAACCAATCGGTTATATTGACAGATGAACAATGCATTTACCGTCATTTATCACCGATTGGTTGACAAATGACGTTTGCTTCATTGGTTATCTGTCAACTATGACCGACCGGTTAATCGCCTTTAATCGATGTATCTGTCACTACAAACAAAAAAGGGACGGAAGCGGCCATATTGAGCCTCCAAGTTTGGGTTAGTTTTGGTGGTTCGCTGTGTCCTCATTCAAGTGGATGTTTAATGGATTTTAGCGGTTTTAAGTGATAATAAGCACTGGGATTAGTGCGAAAAGAGTGAGTCATAATATTGACAGTCATATTTAAATAAATATACGCCACTGCCAAACCTGAAACACTAGTCGGCCATATGCAACCTCCACATATTCTGGTCCCGCAGATTCCAAGTTATGTTCCTTCCTGTGGTTTTATATTCAAAGCTTGAAATCTACTTTACGCGGTTTGTCTAATCGTTGTCTACGTATTGTTTACATCCACTTTTATCCATGTAGACTATGTAAACTATGTAGACAATGTAGACAACAGAAAATTCGAAATTTGAGTAATTTTTTTGAAAGTTTGCATTGCAATAAATTTATATTGTATAAAATTAGACATTATCCGCAGTTTAATTAACTTTAAAAAGCAAAAAACAAAACAAAGCATAAACAGAAACATAACCTTAAAGGCCTGCCAACTGTCAAAAAATATACAGGGTGGGGACTTTAACTGGAACTAATTCGCTAGAGCCTTCGGATAAAATATGTGGACAAAACGCAAAAACACGTCGATTAAGATTTTTTGCCTAGGATTTTTTCACATACATTTTTTTATACAGGGTGTACCAAGAACAGCTGTACGATTATCAACTTTATTTTGTTTAATATTAACCCCTGACATTTTCGGATTCTGCGGAAAATTCTAGACCTATTTTATGTACAATGTCCTATACTTATCTTCAACTGTTTCGGAAATATTGACAGTTGAAAATTGACTTTTTTGTATCTTTGACAGACTGTAAAACCTAAACGGTTGATCTTACTGCAAAACCCATCATACATTTTTATCCTAGTTTTTCGTAAACTATCATTTGACACCCACTCTGAATTTAATCCATGATTAAAAATTCCGTCAGCCGGCAAAATTGCAAAAAAGTCAATTTTCAACTGTGAATATTTCCGAAACAGTTGAAGATAGGTATATGAAATACATAAAATATGTCTAGAATTTTTCGCAGAATCCAGTAATGTCATAAATATACAGGGGCTACCATTTAAAAAAATGAAGTGGATAACCGTACAGCTGTTCTTGGAACACCCTGTATAACAAAATTTATGTGAAAAAATCTTAAGCAAAAAATCTTAATTGACGTGTGTTTGCGTTTTGTCCACATATTTTATCCGAAGGCTGTAGCGAATTATTTCCAGTTAAAGTCCCCACCCTGTATACTTTACGCGTTGTCTACATAGATTACATTGTCTACGCGTTGTTTACACCAGACGTAGACAATCTTTATTTACGCGTAGATGCCCATCCCTGATTTTGACCTTCATGTAACATAATTTCAAAATCAAAATCTGGCAACACTGCTTTTCTGTTTGAATAATAATAATAATAATTAATAATGTTAAATTACTATTCCAGGGTATACAAAAGAAAAACACATTTATTTAAATAATTAATAATACAAAGTTATTTCCTTTTAATAGTCTTATAATTCGTTTCCAAAAAATCAGGCCTCCATATATCCAAATTTCCTTCCTCACCTCCAGTTAATAGAAGTTTAGTCTACAAATAATTATATTAATGAATTTAAAATTAAAATACTCCTTAAAATTCTTACATGTTCATTGTACCAGCTTGCTCTGACTCTTTGAGTGTTTTCATTGAAACTCAAAGCAGGATTTACATTTCCATTTGAAATTTGCAAACTCCTAAAAGATTTGCCTTCCTTGCCATTAGATCCAGTTAAAATTATTAAGGAGTTACTAGCTGGATGCACTTTGGCTACATAAACTTTATTGGCATTTTTCTGAAAACATAAACTCATTAAAACATATTTCTACAAGCTGACAATTAATTATTTACCTTAATATTGCCTGCAATAGTATCCCTATTAAACCTTTTATAAGGTTCAGCCCCATCAACTTCCCACAGTTGCAAATTATTACTCGAAGTAATACAACTAATTTTCCACTGTTGCCTTTCCCAAAACCACTCCAACTGTTCAACTAATTCTTCAGTATTCAAACATTGTTGCAAAGCATCATCTTCATTACTTTCAGCAAGATTATAAGTATTTATTAAACCATCAGTTGACCCAGAAAGAAGCATATTTGAATCATCTGGATTAAATTTAACTTGAGTTATATCATCAGTATGGGATTCCCAATAAGCCCCTTGCAGTTTGGTGCTTCTTACATCCCAAAACAATATAAAAGCATCTCCTTCAAACAAATTAGTACCTGCAGCAAGTAATTTATCACAGGGAGAAACATCAAAGGAACTTAGAGGTTTTATTGGATCAGAATCTTCCAAAGTAGTATCAGCAAATGTAATAGCTGTTTTGCTAGTTCTAAGATCCCACAATTTAACAGTTCCATCAGCAGAGGCAGTGTACAATACATTATTGTCTTTTTGGCTGAATTTGCAACTTACTAATCTATCTGAGTGTTCTTTGAGCTGAGTTATTTTAGCCAGTTGGCTTTCTGCTGATTTGAAAATATCGCAGGAGAAATCTGTTAGAGCTGCAGCAATGTATGGATTTGTTTCACTTGTTGCTGATAAATCTAAGATATATTTGGAGCCCAAAGATTCTGTGTGGATGTGCTGACATTGTGGGAAAATTGAATTTATGTCTTCTGCTTCGACTGTATCGCTGCAATCACTGTCTGAGAGGGATTCATCGTGTTTTTCAATTTCACTTTTCATTTCTTGTAATGGCAATTTGTGGAAGGCAAATAGAACTTCTTTTATTATTTATTTATTCAAGTTTTTATGTGTAAACTGTAAAGTAAACTTGTTGTAGTGGAAGATTTTTTATGGTGTGCCTTTTCTTAGGAGGTTATGTATTAGTATTAGTGTATTAGTCAATGATTAGTAAAGAAGAGTTTATCGATATTTAAAGGTATCGATACGATAATTGTTTCAAAATATACACACCCCAGGGAAATTAGGCCAAAAAAAGGGCTATCTGCGGAATGAGGCCAAACAAGCTGAATTTTTGCAGAGACCTTCGTTTTGATGTTCTAATCAGAGATGTTCTAATTAATGAAGCCAGGCAGCCAGGCAGAGATGGGCATCTACGCGTAAACAAAGATTGTCTACGTCTGGTGTAAACAACGCGTAGACAATGTAAACTATGTAATCTATGTAGACAACGTGTAAACTAAGTAGACAACGCGTAAAGTATACAATTTTTGACAGTTGGCAGGCCTTTAAGGTTATGTTTCTGTTTTTGCTTTGTTTTGTTTTTTGCTTTGTAAAGTTAATTTATTTACGACTAATGTATAATGTGCGTATTATATTTGTGATTTTGGCAGTATAATGACATATGTTATTCCTCCAGGGATTAATGACGAGTAGCGGGATTAATGGTCATTATTCCACAAAAGTGTCAGTGTCAAACGTGTAGTGCTTGTGGATTTGTATTGAAAATTATGAGACGGATGAAATTTGTTCATTCAAAATCTCAAATAAATTAATTTGTCGTAAATAAAGTAGAGTATACTACTCGCAATAATGGCTATTATTCCCTCGGAATGTTACTCCCTCGCCGCTAGCGCGGCTCAGTTCGTAATAATCCTCGGGAATAATAGCTATCATTATTGACTCGTGGTATAATCTACTATTATTTACGAATGACATATAATGCAAGTATTATATTTGTGATTTTGGCAGGATAATGCCATATATTATTCCCGCAGGGATTAATGGTCATTAATCCCGCTTGCACACCAATCACAAAATTTCTCAAATTAAATAAGTAGTACTACCATGGAAACAATATACCTGAACAAACTCAAAAGTGACAGTGTCAAACGCGTAGTGCTCGTGTATTTGTATTAAGATGGATGAACAACGAGCGTTTTTAAAAAGAAAATTTAAATAAATTAATTTGTCGTAAATAAAGTAGAGTATACTACTCGCAATAATGGCTATTATTCCCTCGGAATGTTACTCCCTCGCCGCTAGCGCGGCTCAGTTCGTAAAAATCCTCGGGAATAATAGCTATCATTATTGACTCGTGGTATAATCTACTATAAACTGCAGATAATGTCTAATGTCTAATATAAATTTAATGCAATGCAAATTTTCAAAAAAATTACTCAAATTTCAAATTTTCTGTTGTCTACATTGGGTGAGTTCGGCTTGCTCACTCCGTGCACTCGGAGTGACTCCATTCGCACTCCAGCCGTTCGGGTTAAGGTTCTGGTATTGCTTTTTACGGTTTTAGGGGTGACTCCATTAGCTCTGTTCACTCCAGGGATGTGCGTCTACACGTAGACTTTCATTGTCTACTTTACGTGTAGACAATGTAGACAACGTGTCAACAATGTAAAATAATATAGGGTCAGTGTGCTGGTTTTCGACCAGTTAACTGAAACTTCCACTTCAAAACACGATAAAAATATGTCTAGTTAAAATATATTAATAAGACTAAGATTTTCTAAAAGTCTGAAGATTTGCGAATTCAAATTTTATATATTTTTTTAATTTTTGTTCGATGAAATGTGTAATTTTAGTAAAAATATGAAAAAAGTGCCATTTAGCTAGTTCTCGACCACTGGTCGCAATTTCCGACCATTTTTGGGTTGGTTTTCGACCACCTTTTAATAAGCATAGAAAGCTATAATAAATCCTACCTAGGTAGTAAAAAAAAAATAGCAGTAGTATGAAATGAAAGTTTATTTTCTAAAAGGCAGTTTCTTATAAAAAAAAAAATAGGAACATAAGTTTAAACGAGAATAAACGGATTATTACCTATGAAAAAACTTAGAGGATTAAAAAAACAATAATAAATTCTCTTTTAATTAGGTACTATACCTAGTACCCATAAAGACAAGGACATAAAACATTAAAAAAAAATATGAAAACAAAACAACTCAAAATATAAAAATAAATAAATAAAAATCTATTACAAAAGGGCAGTTCTTATTAAAACTAAAATTAGAATATTTAAAAATATGGAACTGCTAAAACTAAAAAGTTTCAATAGGCTAAGTATCTACCTATCTACCCCTATTTTAAATTAACGAAAAATATGAAATGTTTAGATTTGATGAAATTAAATTAGCATTGACTACATTTATAATCTTTGAACGGCGACAATCACATAGGGATTAGGGAGTATCAACAAATTCGGTAGGTACACTTTTTGTGAAAGCATTTTTCACAAAAGTCACAGCCGATGTTTTTCTTATCTTCATCCTCTGTGTCACTTTAAAGATCTTCTTGGCATAATGAAGAGGATACTTTAGATTTGGATGAGGTGAGTTTTTGAGTATTTTTTATTTTTTTCTTTTTGAGAGTTTTCTGAACTTTTTTTTTGAATTATTTTCTTTTGTCATTTTCCATTTTTCTTTTCTTCGGGCTACCTATACTTGTTTTTTTTTATGGATTTCGTCTTTCTTTTTATTATAGTATTCTCTCCATTTTTCAGAAGCAATTGCACTAGGGGTTTTCTCTCCTTTAGGTAAAGTTTTTTTTTTTTTTTAAGACAAAAGTCATAATGACATTATGTTGGCAATACAATGTAAAATTGGCAATGCTTTCAAATTTTGTATGTAGAAAAGGCTTCTGTTGCCAACATAGTTACAAAATTTTTGACTTGGGGAATTATCTTTAAAAAAAAAACGGACTTTAAGTGAAGTTAAAAAAAAAATTATGTGGACGAAAACTAGATGAGAAGAAATTATTTAAATAAAATCATGTTGGTTCGGCGTCCAGAGTTTCTCATTAGAAAAACATGCTGGTCGAAAATCAGATCCATATTTAGATGTTCGACCACTTGAAACTACAGTGGACGAGAAATGGACTATAATAAGCTAGTTTCTCGACCACATATTTTTGCAAAATCTATATCCAATTTTCTTCGCAATATTTAAATGAAAAGTGGTGGTCGTAAACTAAAAAATAAAAATTATATTCAATATTCAACTAACAATTAAAAACAGAAAGTCATCGCGACTTTTCTAAATATTATTATATGAATTGAAAATGGACGACTTGAAACTCAGTTCTCGACCACCCCGGTCGTAAACTGAATTCTGATATATTTTGTATATTAGTTCCCGACCAACAAAAATTTTATGTAAAAAATTGTTTCACACTATATTTTATTCGTAAATTCGATAGAAAAATTAACCTACTATAACATAAAATCAATTGGTGAAAGGTCTTACATTCAAGAAGAACAATACTTACTATTTTCTACATCAAACACACATACACTTTTTATAGATATAATGCGTAAACAACAACCCCCTTGACAGCGACTATTCAAATGAATTTTGAAGGCGAAACCGTTTATCGCCTATTAAATCTCAATGGTATTTTAGATTGGGAAAACTGTCTGGCAGCCATTTCAGCATTTATTGGACAAGAACGAGTGCATATTTACTATTTATTCCTGATTAAAGGTGAATGTGGTCGAGAACTAGTAGTGGTCGGCAAACCAGCGCAGTCACCCTAAATGACGTTTAATTCTAACCTCACACTTTCCTTTTTTTGGATTATTTTTATTTTATTATTGGTTTTCCCGATATTTTATAATCAGTGAATGCTGATATCGAAGTGATAGTGATAGTATAGTAACTTTTGATATTTTTTTTCGAATTTTTTAAAATAAGTTATTGTTTACGCCGCATGTAGACAATGTGCAGACAAATGCTCACGTAAACAATTCGAATTGTCTACGCGTAGACAATCAATTGTTTACGTTGACATTGTCTACAGGCACATCACTGGTTCACTCCACTCCAACTCCGCGCTGAATAGCCGAACTCACCGATTGTCTACATAGTTTACATAGTCTACATGGAAAAAAGTGGATGTAAACAATACGTAGACAACGAGTAGACAAATCGCGTAAAGTAGATTTCATAGTCTACGGCACATCCCTGGTCAAAATTATGTTAGTTGAAAAAAAATTATAGTAACTGTGACAGTGACAGTTTTTTATTGTGACGTGCTGTCCGCTGACGTGAGTGAGAGTGAGATAGAAAAGAACGTCAATGCCACTGAGGCTCGACAACCAATCAACCACGCAACCGGATTTATGACGTCACTACGTCACGCATCAAATCTCTAAACAGCAAAAACATGTGAAAATAAAAGTAGAAGTATTTTAAAGTTAAGAAAAATACAAAGAGGTCGAAATTATGGTAAATTTTGTATTATTGCATTCGCGATTTTACTAAATACGTATTTTTCTGCAAAATTATGGTACAAATACATAATTATGGTACGCCTGGCAACACTGAGCTGAGGAAGAGACTAGCAAATTCCGTTTATAGAATTTATTCTATAAAAATGTATCCTTATCCTTATATTTTAACATGCTTTAAAAAAGGATGAAGATATACTCAGTGCGGACTGATTGACAATGCCATATTGTAAACAAACCAAGAAAAGTGAGGTTAATGTAATTTATTTTGATTCTTGTTGAATGTTTGTTTTCCAATTTTTTATAAATTAAATTTAATCATGACTTCAGCTCTAGCCTCATTAACAGCACAATACACAGACTCTGAAGCGGAAGAAGAAGACGAAAAGCCAAATAACGTGAATGCTTCTCAAAATAATTCGAAATCTCCTCCGGACACGAATTCGGACAATAAAAGTACAGCCTCTTCGAAACCAGAAAGTCCAGCAGGTAACAGTACTCCCAGTGTAACTGTAACTTCGAGGCTTGCAAAGTTGGTTTCTTATCATGATGATACAGTTGCTTCAGATGAAGAAGCTGAAGCTGACGATGATATTCCACAACAGCTTATTTTTGTTGATGAGAATAATGTTCCACAAAACAGTATGAATGATGTAAGTCGAGATTTTTAGCTGAAGACAATTGAAATCTATTTTTATCCCAATCCAAAGTCCATTTTATTCATCTTTAGGTAAACTTACTGATAACTGTCTACAAGACAAGATAGATTTACCTTATCACCTATTGGTTAGATTGCATCACCCTCGGCATCACCTGACCCTGACAGTTTATCAGAAGGTAAATATAAACCTGGCCTTAAATCACATAAATTTCGCATTCAGCATAAAGTGTGTTTTTTTTTTAAGATAAAAGTCAAAATGACATTATGTTGGCAATACCAATGAACTATAGCCAAAAACTGGAATGCGCACACATTGGGTGGTATGAATAAAAACGAAGTACTTGCTACTACTACAAGTATTAGCATGTTCTACGTAGTATTTACTTCATAACGAAGTAGATACTACATTTCAGTAGTTTCGAAATGTAGTATCTACTTCGTTTTGAAGTAAATACTACGTAGAACATGCTAATACTTCTAGCAGTAGCAAGTACTTCGTTTTTATTCATACCACCCATTGCTATATCTGCCAAAAAAATGTAGCCATGAAAGACAGATGCCACAGAGGGGAATGTTGTTTTTTTCTGTTGCTTGCTGACATATGACGTTTTCGAAAGTTTTGTCATATTTACCTTCACAGGTTTCATCAATTGGAATACGTGTTGGAAGCAATTTCCGCAATTTAACTTAATGAGTGCGACAAAAACAGGTATCCCCTTCGCAGCAGCGGCACTAGGCTTCACGTTCGTCAATATGTGTTCGCATTCCTGTCTTTGGTTATAGTTCATTGGGCAATACAATGTAAAATAGTCAATGCTTTCAAATTTTTTATGTAGAAAAGGAGGGTTGCCAGATTTACGAGAGGGAAAAGCGTTGCAACGTCGGGAGGGGGGGGGAGGTAAGTTCAAAGATAAAAGTCAAAATGACAATATCTTGGCAATACGATGTAAAATTGTCAATGCTTTTAAATTTTTTACATAAAACAGTTAGGTACCAAATTTTTGACCTAGGGTTTTATCTTTAATAAAATAAACAGCCTCGTAAACAGCCTTTATTATATGGAAAGAAAAAATACAACTGAAGGAGGTTTTTTTTAAAGATAAAAGTCAAAGTGACATTATGTTGGCAATACAATGTAAAATTGTCAATGCTTTCAAATTTTTTATGTAGAAAAGGCTTGTGTTGCCAACATAGTTACTAAATTTAGTAAATTTTTGACTTGGGGAATTATCTTTAAAAAAAAAACGCACTTTACATATCATTTTAAAATAGAAAATGGCACAGCGTTGTCGGGTTTAACCATTATCAGGTGTTTTCTGATTTTCTGAAAAGCTCTATAATTCTTGTGTTTTCCTTTGAATTTGAAAAGCGGGGCATTGGGGTACTTTGGCGTGGCGCGTGGCAGCAAGTGGAAAAGCGTGGTAATCACGCCTAAATCGGGGCGTCTGGCAACCCTATAGAAAACGCTTGTGTTGCCAACATAGTTACTAAATTTTTGACTTGGGGAATTATCTTTAAAAAAAAAACAGGCTTTAATTTTTGTTTGTACATTTTTCAATATTTTAATAGAAAAAGCACCTTTAGAACTAATTTGGACCAGATAAACTTGCTGGTGATTATCTGTAAGATAAACTTACTGATTTATGTAAAGATCTGTTCTCACAGAAATCGCAAACCAGTGAGAGCAAGTTTCATTGATTCAAAACGAGGTTGAAAATAGTCAGAAAACTCTGGTTTTTTGCGATTTGCACCAATCCAATAGACTCTGACTGGTTTGTGATTTTTATGAGAACAGATCTTTTATGGCCAATCAATGGGACTACGGATTGCATTACCTGATAGTTTATCAGAAGATGAATAAACTGGCCCTATATATGTAGATATTAATCCAATTTTGAACCAAAAATATAATTTGGAAAGGTTTTGTATGACTATAAGCTTCATAGGCCAAGGCACTTAGCGAAATAACAGCCATATTTTAACATAAAATTTAACAGCAAACTATCGATGCAGTATTGTTAAGGATCATTTATGGAAAAAATGTAATTTGCGTGGGCGGGGAGGAGCTCGCTGCAAACAAGGGTATTATGCCAAAACGACCCATCGGACCGGACCCAAATTTGGGCTCAATAAAGCCTGCCTCATCTACTATGTATGTGTAAAAAATTAATTGTCTAGCATGAAAATTAAAAAAGTTAAGAATTTTTTATGAAAAATTTTTTTTTTTTAAGGGAAAAAAATCATTTCTCGAAGACTAAAAGACCTACAGGGTTGTATGATGGCTCATTGTAAAGCTTGTTCAATGCTCTAAAACTATTGCCACAGCACAGTAGCAAAACCATCCGATCATTGGTTTTCGAAATACAGTGAATTAAACAAAAAAAGCCCCATTTTTGCACTAAATATTGTTTATAAAATCCCCTAAAAGTAATTAGATGTTGCATTTTTGATTTTTAGCATCTATAAATGATTCTTAACAATACTGCTTTGATAGTTTGCTGTTAAATTTTATGTTACGAAAAAATTTATCTGCCCAGGCCTATCAATTAAAGTTGTATTTTTGTTCAATGCACACATTTTTTGTGCTTATTTTGGATAGAATTTGATTAAGAAGTGAAATAGGTACCTAGGTATTACAAGAAATATCTAGAAAAAGTTTTTTTTTTTAAAAAAGGATTTATTTTTGACCTCAAATCAGTTACCTAACTGGTACCGAGGTCTTCACCTTAAATAGGTAATTGTAATTATAAACAGAAAAACAGTAAATATAGATCTAAAGTCTGTTTTTTTTTAAAAGATAAAAGTCAAAATGACATTATGTTGGCAATACAGTAATACAGTATAAAATTGTCAATGCTTTCAAATTTTTATGTAGAAAAGGCTTGTGTTGCCAACATAGTTACTAAATTTTTGACATGGGGAATTATCTTTGAAAAAAAAATATTTAAAGAGATAACTGAGGTTATCCAAAATAAGGACAAGTACTAATAAACATTTTCAGTCTCTGTCATTAAAAAGTCTTTTGTGATTATGGTATACTGCATTTTCTTATCCTTCTAATATTTTGGGTGGAACTTTGTTATAGGTTTGTATACATCCGAGGGGTGTCTCACGCTGTTAAATTTTGTAGACCTATTTCCTTTTTGGAAATGTTTTTCTGATATTGTCCATAATTTCCGAAATTTCCTGAATATTTGTAATTTTTATAAGTATTTCCTATAATTTCTAAAATTTCCTGAATAATTTATGAAACTTCCTGACTTCCCTAAGTAAATAATTACTATGTAGTTTCCTATGAAATTTCTGACATTTCTGAAACAAAAATTGATAATTTTCAAAATTTCTGAAAGATTTTTACCTACTTAATTTCTCCCCAAAATTTCCGAACATCTCTACAATATTCACTGTAGTTTTCTAGAAATGTTAATTTTTTTTGCTTTGCTGAAAAATGTTAGTTCATGGTGGTGACAAAAGTTGGCTGTTGGTTCCAGTTTGTCACTCTTTGAAAGTAGACCTTCAACTGCTTTACTCTTCAATTGTAAATCTAGACTAAAGGGCATCAAATGGATTAGAAATGGTATTTTCTCTAATCAAATTGTACATGATGAAATTCTATACTCCATTCCATATTTGAAATCCCAATAAATGATTTTGCAAAGTTTTGAGTGACTGTGGAAGCGTTTGGAAAAACAGTTGAAAATTATATTTTCCTATTCAATATTTTACAGCAAAAATTTAGTTTTTATTAATATTGTACGAACCTGAATTTGAGGTAGAAGGTAGAAAATACATTATATTCCCAACAAATACAGAAAACAACTTAAAATTTAAACACAGGAAAAAACATAAGTATTTTAGTGTTTGTAGCGATACTCGCCTTGGCATGTTTTCATCTTTGCGTGTCAAATTCAAATTCAAAAAGTAAAAATCCTGATATACATGTACTGTGATACTTCTATCAAAGGGTAAACCACCTCCCCATTATTTGTGCAAACAATTCCTCAAAGGGGAATTTTCTACGCAAAATTTCCCAAAATTCCTCCAAATTCCTCTAAGTTCCCTGCAAATTCCCGAAAATTCCTGCAAACTCCTCTCAGATTCTCCACAAATGCCTCTTACAAATTTTCTGAAAATCCTCATAATTGACCTTTTCAATTTAAAACCCTCTCTCTCTGGCGTCAAACTGTCAGACGCCAAAAGAGTATGAAAACAACGGTTGACAGCCGCTGACAGTGATTTGTTGACAAGATTTTTGTACATGTGGAAACTGGAAACTATTATTTCTTCGGTTTTTTCAAAGTTTTTTCCTAACAATAGTGATTGTGTAGTGTGCCTTTTTGTAAAAATAATTCCTATTTACTGGCGGACGTGTCTTTCCATAAGTTTCCATCAAATCCTACATTTGTCAAATTTTGGATACATAAAATCAGAAAGAATACTCGCAAAAAAAAGGGAAATCCACGGCCTATCAATTATACAAAGTAATCCACGTTCAAGTTTAGTTTGCGGGAGCTGTTTGCTTCCAAAATAATCCACCGCTTTCTCCATAGCGAAATTCTGCAAAGGAAGTAGTGACTTTTCCTGCATTTTCTTTCAAATCACCCCAATACACACTGGCATTGACAAGCAAGCAAATGTTGGCGGGAAAATGATTGTTTTCATACTTTATTGTCCATCTCTTTTAATTGAAAACGTCAATTGCTCATGATAAGTTTATTTTTTTAAATTTTTATTTTGCTTAGGCTTGGTTTATTCATCTTCAGATAAACTTGCTGGTAACTATCTATAAGATAACTTTATCGATTTCATAATCCTATTCGTCAAGGAAAACTGGCCAACCAATGGAATTACTAATTGCGTTTTATCCGTCAGATTGGATTACCTGACGGTTTATCAGAAGGTGAATAACTCAGTCCTTAGTGTTAAAACTCAAGAGCAGTTTGTCAAGTAGGATCAAATGCAGGGTTAGGTTAGTTAAAGAGCTAAAACTAATGATTGGTTTCCGGTAATCTAGAATACAGGGGTTTAAACCGAGGTTTAAACTAACCTAAACCTGCACTTTATATTATTATCTAATTGATAGAAAAAAAAACCTTTCAAGAAAATTAAAACAAATATAATACTGCATACATACCAAGTATAATGTACATGTAGTTACTTTTCAAACAACTTAGGCGAGAACTTAGGCATGTATATTGTTTCACAATATTGAGGATATATTATTTCTTTTTATTATAAATGGATCTTTTCCTTAAAGTTGAACAGGTTTACAGAACCATAAACGATACATTAAATCTGAACCTCAGCATAGGCTAAGCTAAGTAGGCCATACGAATGTGTCTAATTCCCTTTTCAATAATTTGATAATAATTAAACCATTTTTTCAACGTTCAGCCTTTTTTCCATATATGATGCTAGGATACATAACATATTCGGATTCAAATACATTTAAACTCATATCAGCTTCAAGTAGCTTGAAGTTCCTTTGCACTCAGGGTCATTTTTAAGGAGATTTTGTACCTCTTTCGGAAAAGTTCATCTTATCTTCTGGAATAATGTCAGAACTAACTAATAAATGTTCACTTTTATTATGTTCTTCCTTGTGTTTTCCTTGGTGTTTTCCAATTATGAACCATATTAAAATGATCTACTGAAATTATATAATCTCCATTCTCTTATGACCAATAATTTTTTTTCTCAGTAGGCGATTTTCTAATTTAGCTCCAATATGAAAAGAATCTTAAATGTAGCATTCAAGTCTAAGTGGATCCAATTCCAGAAGGTTTTTCCTTGACAGTTGTTAAAATTTTCAAACATTTCCATAATATTAAAATGATTATTCTTTTAAATTTGGACCTGTAAATCATGAATTGAAATTTTGGGAGAATTTCTTTGATAAAAATGAATGTCCAACGTCCAACACAAAACTAGATTTTTTAAAAAAATTCCAAATATTTGTGCTTCTTATAACAAGAATGTGAATCTCAATGACATCATGACCCTACAATTTCCTTACAATTCCTCAGAAATTCCTCCAAAATTACTGAAAATTTCTCTAAATTCCCCATAAATTTATTCAAATTTCCTATACCTCAATTAATTCTCCACATATTTGGCAAAGAATTCCTAGGTGGTTTGCACCTTCGAAAATACAGTTTCACACAATTCAAAGTTTTCCTGGAAAACTAATTGAGGGAAAAATTAAAACTTTTTGCATGTGAGGGAAGGTTAGGTCATTTTTCCAAAATTTCAAATATTTCCAGGAGAAAATAACAACATGAATAAAATCTTGGAAATCAACTTAGAAAAAGTGAATTAATTGAAAATACAATTTCACACATTTCAAAGTTTTCCTGGAAAGCTAATTAAGGAAAAATGTTGAAACTTTTTGGATGTAAAGAGGAAAGTTAGGAGCTCATTTTTCCAAAATTTATAAATTTTTCTAGTGGAAAATAACAACATGAAAAATCTTGAAAATTAACTTAAAATAACTGAATTATTTGAAAATACAACAAGCAAAATTGTGAAACTTTTTGCATGTGAAAAGGAAAGTTAGGAGCTCATTTTTCCAAAATTTCAAATTTTTCCAGAGGAAAATAACAACATGCAAGATATTGAAAATCAACTAACAATAACTGAATTAATTGAGAATACAGTCTCACACATTTCACAGTTTTTCTGGAAAACTAGTAAAGGGAAAAATTTGAAACTTTCTGCATTTAAAGAGGAAAGTTAGAAGCTCATTTAACCATAATTTTATATTTTTTCTAGTAGAGAATAACAACATGAAGCTTGACTTCTATAGTTTATGAGATGTGTTTATATCAGGTCTCCAGAAAAAAAAACCAACCAAAGATTGCTTTGGTTATGGATACGTACGTCGCATTATTGTTTCATTATTGGTCAGGATTTTTGACATGGCATTTTGACATTGAAGTTTATTGACAAAATTAAAGAAAAATATGGCTAAGACACACGTTTAAAAAACCATAGCAATCTTTGATTGGTTTTTTTTTTTTTGATGACCCGATACCTTGGTTTATTCATTAACATTGTTTCACGAGGGTTCATACTTTTTCAAGGCTTTTCACATACAATATATTAGAGAGATTTGGTTACGTTTCTCTTAGGGAATTCCATGATTACCATTATTTAATCACTTTGTTTAAAATACTAAATAATCTGTTGGATTGCAGTGGCATGCTTGGCAGATTATTTTTTTTTGTACCTCGTATGAACTCATGCCATATTACCACATTTTATTTGCCTCTAACAAGAAAAAATGCATTAAAATTCTCTCCTATTTTTTCAATGTGTTCTAAATATAACGCCCATCCTAACTTGGATTTTTTTTCTCAATCGATTTCTACAGTTAAGAAGATACTTCCGCATTAAATACTTTGCTATTTCCACTGATATTTTAAACCTGATTCTCTCATTTCGTTTTGAAGCTGCTCTTGCTGGCAGTTGTTAGTAGGTTAAGTAGTAGGTTTAAGTTTCACTCTGTCATGTATGTTACTGACTTACTGATTTACCCGATAATTTTTTGTAACTCTTGTTAGTTCCTATCTATTAATTGGGCATTTGTGCCTGTTGGGTAGGTTTTTGGTAAATAAATAAATAAATAAATTTGTCAAAAAAATTGGATGTGTCTTATGAATTAATCTACGACAACCCTTTTTTTTCAAGTTATGACTTGTTTGATGTCAAAAGTTTGAACTCTTATGAAACGATATGTACCTTTATTTTGTTAGCAGTTAAGTATTTGTATTCACAGAACACCGAACGGGAACTAAACAATATTCAAAACACAAAAATTCTCAAAATTTCTGGTGAAAATTTCTTAATTTCCTATAATAATTTCAGTAAATTTTCCATAATTTCGAATAATTTCCCAATATTTCGAATAATTTCCTGACATTTTCCAAATTTTCCAAACATTTTCTATAATTTCTGAGAATAAACATAATTTGTGACAATTTACAGGAAATTTCTGTAATTTCTCAACATTTCCGGAAATTATTTTGAGATTGTACACTTATTTCCGACCGTGAGACACCCTTCGTATACATCTATAGATGGAAGAGTTCTGGCGATTGTAGTTGTGATAGTCTCTATTCAATGTGGTCTGCACTTTTGTTTTAATAAGGTGGTTTTGTATTTTGTACATAAGTTTTGCCTGCTCAAACATCTTCAACTGATCAATTTTTAGGTAGGGATACTGCCTGTATAATGTTTCACTGGGTGTATAACAGTGCCTAGAAAATATTGTTTTTATTGATTTGTTTTGCAGTCTTTGTAGCCGTTTTACTGTTCCAGGGTAGCCATAGCATGGTATCATATGCCTGAAGTGTGGCTCGATGAAACTATTGTAGATTAAATATTTTGAGTTTTCATTTAACATATGTCTACACCTCCCAAGAATGGAGCAATTTTTGCATGAATACTTTCAATGTGTGCTCCCCATGTCAGTTCGCCTGTTATTATAAGACCTAAGCATTTATATTGCTCCACTTTTTTGAGAAAATTATCATTAATTGTAATTGTTGGGCTTATTGTTCTTTTTCTCACCTGATCTAGGACCATATAGACTGTCTTTTCAACATTTATACTAAGTTTATTGTAGAAGAACCAATCAAAATAACATACTAGATCTTCATTCACAATATTTTCAAGTTCTTAACCATTTTCTCCAGAATATATGAAAACAATATCATCACAAAATTTCACATATTTAGCCCTAGCTCAATCCAGCATACTTCAGACTTTGGACATATAGAAGGTACTCTAAAGATCCTAGTACTGATCCTTGGGCAATATCGACACATACATTTTCAGCGTTGCATATTTCATTATTAACTTGGGTACACTATTTTCTGCCCATTGAGTATATTTTCAGCAAGTTATGGAATGTCCCTTGAAATCCCATTATAATAATAGTATAAAGTTTATTAATGGACAAGCCATTTACAGTAAATAACATAATACAAAAATAAATGACGTTATAAAGAAAAACAAAAAAACTTAACACAACAATTTAAATTAAAATTTAACATTTACGGTACACATATATAAATACAATGACATTTAAGCGCTGCAAATCATTTAACAATTGTTTACAAGTTTTTAGAGACATGCCAAAAAAATCAAAATTGTTGGGTAGCTGATTAGCTTCTCTGCATATTCTAGCCATAGGGCAGAAAAAACCATAATTAGTCCTATGATACCCACTATGAAAAAGATGCACTTGCCTAATCTGTCTCACAGGGGCACGCAGGGAAATGCTGTTTAACAAATAACAAAGGGGGACAGTCAATTAAGTTATTAGGCAGCTTAAAAAGAGAGGAAATATCATAATTTCTTCTACGTGCCTCTAAACTAGAAAGACTCAGCAACCGCAACAGGTTATTGTAGCAGACCTCTTTCGATGGTATATGTATCTTATAGGCAATATGCCTTAGAAAGCGTTTCTGAATTCTCTCAACACAATTTATATGGACCCCATAATGAAGTTACCAAATTGGAGTAGCATATTCCAAAAGGGATCTCACTACAGAACAGGGGTAAAAATAATATTAAAATCTTTTAGGGTGCAAAATACAAATCCCAAAAGTTTCATTGCCCTATTACATGCCAAAAATTCAAACATTTTAAATTTTTTGAATTTTGACCATTCCAATCGATAGAGTGTGTCCTAATTAAATAGTTGAAAAAAAAACTCTTATTTTTATTTTTTTAACATAATTTCCAAAATTCTCTTTATTTCTAGATCGAATTAAACATTGACGATAGTTTAATTCCTCCAGAACCGGCCGGAACATGTTCGGCGGACATACAAGACAAAATCGCCAAGTTGCACGAAAAAATGCAAAACCAAAACATGGACATGAACGCAGTGATACAAAAACGCAAAGATTTCCGCAACCCCAGCATCTACGAAAAATTAATACAGTTTTGCGATTTAAATGAATTGGGTACCAACTATCCGGCCAGTATTTATGACCCCCTGAAATGGGCAAAGGAGTCGTTTTACGAAGAACTAGCTAAAGTGCAAAAAATTGAAATGGAGAAGAGGGAAAAGGAGCGCAAGGGCAAAATCGAGTTTGCAGCAGCAGGCGCTAAAAAGTTGGAAGAGGACAATAAAAATAAGAGGAAAAGCAAATGGGACATGCCAGGTGGTGGGGCTGTTAAGGTGAACCAGCCTGGATTGGTGGCTCCACCTTCTCTAACAAATACAGCTACAGGAACTAAAAGTACGGTTATTTCGGCTTTTGGTTCTTTGCCTAAAAGACCAAGACCTTGAAATTGAGTTTTGTATTAAAATTTGTGCATTTTAGATCATCATCAATGAGAGTCCTTGATTTTGAAGAAAGGAATTTTCATTTACAATAATTATTGATTATATTGATTTGTAGAATATAGCTAATTAAATATAAATGTTTTTTTTTTAATTGGTTGTTTTTACTTATAAGCAGTGAAGAAAATAATTGCTAAGTATGTACAGGGTGGCCCAAATTCAAGCCTCATCATTGGGATCTCGGTAACCGTAAGAGATACGGGGTCGATTAAATTATGGCAAAGTTGCGCAATTTTATGACCAATAGAATGCCGTTTTGAAACTAGAAAGATTCCGAATACTTCCGGAGATGTTCGGAAAAAACCAAAATTTGGTAAAATCGTTTTATTACTGGACCAAGGTTGTTTGAGAGAGTTAGGTTGCCTAATAACTTTATGATGCAGTGTTATCAGATGTCAAATTTAAAATTATCAGGATTTGAGAACAAAATTATCAGATTCCAAGAAAAATTATCAGAAAAAGTTTCTGTCAATTTTTTTGACTTTTTATATCTATTCTCATTTTTTGAATTCTAGCTGGGACTCTGGCAATTGTAGCTCTCAATAAGAGCTTCAAAAAAGGTTATTCAAGACTTCGAGCCCAGGGGTTTCGTTTTCAAGATAATCGGCTTTGAAGCTTTTGCAAAATTTGAGACAAAGTTTTAATTTTGAGCCTCAATATCTTCAAAAGTATTTAAGATATAGAATTCTTATTTTATCTTGAAGATTATTTAATTCTAATTCATCATGTTTGTTACAATAATAACCGAGTAATCAGCAATTTTGTGAAAGAATATAAGATTATTGAAATTTTTTGAGCCCAAAAATTGGAAATATCGTTTTTATTTTTTTACAAGCCTTAAAACTCTAAAAACAAAGTTGCGTAAATGCTTTTCCACTAATTTTCACCTCCTCTTTTGATTAGTAGAGTCAAAAATTGCATAATCCAAAAATTTAAAAATTCGAACTTTTCCAAAGGGGGTATCCATGGAAATTGGATTTTCAAATATTTCAAATGCTTGTATTTTGGAAACCAGTAAAGTTATTGGCATGAATCTTTTGCCCAATTGTAACTCTTAATAAGGGCTACAAAAAAGGTTATTTAAGACTCCGAGCCCAAGGGCTTCGTTTTCAAGATAATCCGCCTAGAAGCTTTTGCAAAATTTGAGGTAAAGTTTCAACTTTGAGCCTCAATATCTTCACAACTATTTGAGATATAGAATTGTATCTTATTTTATCTTGAAGATGATTTAATTCTGATTCAGAATATATAATTTTACATTATATTTGTTACAATAATAACCGAGTAATCAACAATTTTGTGAAAGAATGTCAGATTATGAAATTTTTTGAGCCCAAAAATTGCAAAAATCGTTTTTATTTTTTAACAAGGCTTTAAAACCCAAAAAGGAAAGTTGCGAAAATGCTTTTCTACTAATTTTAACCTTTTCTTTCGATTGGTGACGTCAAAAATTCGAAAAACTGGAACTTTAAAAATTCGAACTTTTCCAAAGGGGTATATACAGGGTGTCCCATGGTGGATGGCGTATTAGACGTTAAAGGAGAACTTAAAAGCGGATCATTTTGAAAATTTGGCAACCGGGATAAACAACCATAATCTACACTTTAAAAATATTTTTGTTTATGCGGTGTTGCCGCTTCTACTCTAAACTAGTGGCAACATCGCTATTTTAAATGGAACACCCTGTATGTGATTGCATATTTGGATTCTACGTTAAATTCTGAAAAGATTTTATGTGATATACCCTATACCTAAGTTCAACTGTTTTGGAAATATTGACAGTTGAAAATTGACTTTTTGCAACTTTGACAGGCTGTAAAACCTAAACGGTTAATTTTAGACGAAAACCGATTTTACATTCCTGTCTTAGATTTTCATAAACTATCATTTGACACCAATTTTGAACTTAACCGGAGATTAAATTTAACTGGAATTTTTAATCATGGATTTAATTCAAAGTTGGTGTCAAATGATAGTTTATAAAAATCTATGATAGGAATGTGAAATCGGTTTTCCTCTAAAATTAACCGTTCAGGTTTTACAGCCTGTCAAAGTTGCAAAAAGTCAATTTTCAACTGTCAATATTTCCAAAACAGTTGAACTTAGGTATAGGGTATATCACATGAAATCTGCTCAGAATTTTACGTAGAATCCGAATATGCAGGGTCGGCGCAACCATTAGGCGAACTAGGCGGTCGCCTAGAGGGCGGCAAACTTAAAGGAGCGGCAAAAAGGCAATAAAAACAAAAAAAAAATCTTTTGAATTCTGCTTTTCTTCATGATATCCAGGATTCCATTTCTCTTGCAAACCCAAACACAAACTTTGCCCTTCTTATGAGCTCATACTGCTATACCTCATGTTTCTGCTATTCGCTATAGGGGTCGTGCGACCGGGTGGCGGGCGGCCAAATAGTAGATTATACCACGATTCAATAATGATAGCTATTATTCCCAAGGAATATTTATGATCTGAGCCGCGCTAGCGACCAGGGAGTGAGATTCCGAGGGAATGATAGCCATTATTCCGAGTAGTATAGGGGAAACTGGGTAACACTGAGACACTTTTTTTTTCTAATGAAAATATTTTACCATAAACCTTTAAAATATGGATTTTTTTTTTCAGTAACACTCAAGAATAAATCTAAGTTAGAAATTTATTATGTTTTTGATTCTATAGTCACTTACAAAGACAATATTTGACATAAACAGTTATCATGACATTTGTCTCATTGATACCCATGCAGGGGGTTCAATGAGACACTATATCAAATGAGAAATAATTACTTGAATAAACTGAAACAAACTTCTACAAATGACCCAGACAAAATTTCAAAGCCATGGTAGGATCGATTTCAGTCTTTCCGTAATTCACTGGTTTTGGCAAAATCATCTTAATATCTCTTTTAGAAACAGTGGCAATATCTCTAAAATCTGGACATTTGGGGAAACAAAAATCCCTCCTTTTTATCACTTTTCCTTAAAAATGGTAATTCATAATCATTTTTGTTATCACTATCGATTTCTGATAACAATTTTCCTATGTAATAGGTAGATTTTTTCCCTTTAATGTTTCAGTTGCAAATTCTACTAGTCTCAGTGTTACCCATCTAAACATGTCTCATTCATACCCAAGTCACTTTAAAAAATATAATGCCATTTTTTAGTCCCCCTTTGATCTTAATTTAATTTTAATAAATCCAATTAACAGCAGAAAGGTTCCCTTATATCACTCAAAGACTATGCGTACTAGAAAAAATCACCGTTTTTTCAAATTTCGCCGAAAAAGTTCGTTGGCAAAAAAAAATAACCGAAAGGTTGTACCCCCTTCCGCGTTGCAGACGAAACTAAAAATGGGTGATGGTTGAAAATAGAATCGATACTCCTCTTAAGACATCATTAATGTCTTATTGGGGCGACACCTATTTAAAAAGTGAAGAAATAGCTAATATTTTGAATGTCTCACTGTTACCCGTGTCTCAATGTTACCCACTTTCCCCTACTCTACTTCATTTACGACAAATTAATTTATTTGAGATTTTAATGAACAAATTTCATCCATCTCAATTCTCAATACAAATCCACCAGAACTACACGTTTGACACTGACACTTTTGAGGAATAATGACCATTAATCCCTCTACTCATCGTTCCCTTTGGGAATAACATATGGCTTTATATACTGCCAAAATCACATCTATGACTATTTAATAATATACCTATTTTGCTTGTGATAGTAACCACATAATGTAACTCATCTTACACACCTGTGGAATATGAATCTCATATTCCACACCCGTGGAATATAGTTACATTTTTATACGTATTCCATGACAGCACTGACAGCGTTCCAAAATAGAATCGAGCTTGTTTGGATTGTTGGTTACTAGAGAAACTAAGATATTTGATTTTGACAAAATACAAAATTTCATGCACCCCTCGAAAAATTCGTGCAGCCGCACTAAGTAGCATCTCTAGCATTACTTCCAGAGAAATAAAGGAAAAATGACAAAATTATATACATCTTTGTAGACTGGCGACTAAAGAATGGTATCAATTCATTTTCTTCAAATCTACAAATTATTACCTATATATTAGCGTGCGCACGATTACCATACCTATGCGCACCATTACCCGCTCCAGTATGGCAATTGTGCGCAATGCAACTTTTTAGAAAATCGGCTGTTGTCATTTTCCTAATTCAAACTGTACCGTTTTGACATGGGAATATAGTAGCTTATATATCAAACTAGCGATATGCATCGCAGAAAAATATCCTGACGTTTTAAATTTTCCGAAATATGGTGAGTGGCTTAGGTGCGCACCAATACCCGACTCTCCCCTACACGTGTATTTAATTGAATAATATTTTTGGTTTTTGTTAACTGTGTCTGTAACTACCATTTCTGGAAATTTTTTCTTCATGCTTACACTTTCAAGCCTTTCTACATCTAGCTTTTGAATCCATTTTGAAGTAAATTAGAATAATTAGATATCCTATCCTATGGCCTATTGTTAGAGAGCCGAGCGATCGGATCCGTATCCTCCAGGATAGGGAGCCGAGCGCTCGGACCTCTATACACAGCCTTTTTTTAATTATTAGGGGACTGCTAGCTTTACGTTTACATGTTGGTGTGTCAGAATGGCAAAAAAACTTCGGGATCTATATAATAATTAGGTGCTTTTTAGGTGCTAATTAGGGCCTCTAATTAAAAATTAGGTGCTCTTCTAGTTTTTTAGAAAATCAAAAAAAACTAAGGGTTTGAACTAGGTTTATGAAAGCTAGTAGTCCCCTATAGTGAAAAATATTTTTCCAAAATTTTCTTTTGTATTAGAATAAGGTGCTTTTTAGGTGCTCTTAAATAGTCGAAGAAAAAATAAAATTGATTAATTATTAACTGAGTTACAGATTTTTTTTATTTATTAGGGGATTGCTGGCTTTACGTTTACATGTTGGTGTGTCAGAATGGCAAAAAAAAACTTTAGGATCTATATTATAATTAGGTGCTTTTTAGGTGCTAATAAGGGCCTCTAATTAAAAATTAGGTGCTCCTCTAGTTTTCGAGAAAATAAAAAAAAAACTAAGGGATTGCTAGGTTTATGAAAGCTATTAGTCCCCTCCCCTATAGTAAAATATTTTTCCAAAATTTTTTTTTGTATCAGAATTAGGTGCTTTTTAGGTGCTCCTAAATAGTCGAAGAAAAAATAGAATAGACCTATCTATTTTTACCTGGTATGCGCGCGCAACACGAGGCAATGTCTTTTTATTGGCTAGCTAATACATATGTGAGGTAATCGTTTTGCACGCTGGGCATCTCTTTGTCCTTGTTCATTGCACGTAGTCTGACAAGAATAAATCTAATGTTGATATTGAACTTGACAAGTGTCATTCAAAAGTTGTTTGACCTTTTCATTGACAAATACGGTTGCACAACACGCGGTTTTTCTCCTTCCCTTTTTATCCCATGCAAATAAGAAGGACAGATTGCTATACGTAAGTCTAACATAATTTGGTACGTTTTGCCTCGTCTTGCGCAATGAGCGTTCTGTGTCTTTTTTTTATTTAATGAAGTTTTCGTATTATTACCTCTTTGTCTGGTAAAATAGATAGGTCTATTGATTAATTATCAACTGAGTTACAGATTTTTTTTATTTATTAGGGGATTGCTGGCTTTACATTTACATGTTGGTGTGTCAGAATGGAAAAAAACTTCGAGGTCTATATAAAAATTGCGTGCTAATTAGGGCCTCTAATTAAAAATTAGGTGCTCCTTCAGTTTTTGAGAAAATCAAAAAAAACTGAGGGACTGCTAGCCTAGGTTTATGAAAGGTTAAGCAAACCCCTATAGTAAAAACTATTTTTTCAAATTTTCCTTTTGTATCAAAGTTGGGTGCTTTTAAGATGCTCCTAAATAGTCGAAAAAAAAATTAAATCAACTGAGTATTAACTGAGTTAGAGTTTTTTTTTTCATTTTAAGGGGACTGCTGTTAATACATATATCAGCGAAAAAAACAATTTTTTTGTCACAAACGGCGGCAATAAGGAATTAAAAATGCGGAAAAATTCAAATTATTTCCAGCGGGAAAAAAACGCGCTGGTACTGGTGGTGACGTCATTTAGTATGATCTGTCAGTGTCTGTCAGCAACTGTCCATCAAACCGTGAGTTCGTCTTGAAACACTAAGCGCTCGGAGCATTTTTCGTCTTTTTTCCTTACGATGAGAAGAACAGGGATAAAAGAACAAAACAGCAGTTCCGAGCGTTTACTCGAACTTTACATAAATAAATACCCGTTAGCTGTGTTTATCCAGTTTTTCTCTTTTTTAAAAAATTTTATCATTTATTTTTATTTTAATGATTAGCTCAGCATTATATAAATAAAACAATGTGCCTATTAATTATTTATTTATTTATTTATTTATTTTTAACTTTATTTCAGATTACAGTAACATACATAAAAATATACACATAAACTATGAAATGAAATAGCGTCACAAAAAAGACCTTACACCTAATAGTCCAAGAAACGGGGATCTGAAAAGAGGATTTACCTCAACATAATTAGAAGTCGAAACCCCTTTTGGGGGATCGGTCCATTCTAATACGCTAAACAACACACCAAGCTTGCGACCTTGCACCTCCACAGGGTTTCCAGTTAGGGGCGGCTTTCAGGGGCAATCCGCGGCCTATGGAGAACGCTGCTCAAAGGGATGGCTCAACAGCAAAAAGCCTCAAATGAACGTTGCAGCCGAAGTTTCCCGCTATAAAAAACTCAGCGACAATTATGACCGAAGAAGGAAATTCCAAAGGCGAATCTTTTTTTCCATTATAAATTCAAAATTTACAACTCGCCGCAACACAAAACAACAACAAAACAAATAACGGTGGAAAATATGTGGAAATCAACCAAATTAAATACAATAAAGTATAACGTTTGGCGACAAGATGACGCAAAATCATACTACGTGACGTCATCTAGATTCGCGCGCTTTAAAGTCGTTTGAAATGCTTTTAATACGCGCAAAACTTTAAACATTTTTCACCAAGTTATTATGGAGTTTTAGGGAATAATATTTGGGGAATACTCTTCCGAGGCATAATTAAATGATTTAAAAAAATAAAAAAAAAGTTGTAAAGTTCCCTATTTAAGTCATAAATAAAAAACTAACAAAGAATCACCCCTTTCCGTTTGTATATGATATTCAGGAGCACCCTGTATAATACGCAGTTAATTATTCTATATATTTTCGGATTTCTGTTGATTACAAAACAATAATAATTCCGAACGTGCTCTATGAATTAATCAACGACAAATCTTTTTTTCTAAGTTATGACGTCATTGATGACGTAATTAAGTAAGTACAAAAAAATAAATAGTTTGGTTGTACCATAGAATGTTGTAGTAATTTTTTATATTATTAGTGTTAGGTAGTGCTATAGTGGGGTGCCGAATGGAGGTGCTAATTTCTGTTTTGGGGGTGCTTAGCACCCCCAAGTACCCTCCTAGTTGCGCCTATGCTTGCCTTGAGACTTTGTGAGCTATGCTTTGGACTGGAGCGTGCCTGGAATAATGAAAATAATTAATTTTTCAAGACTTTTCTTCTAAATATCAGCCTTTTGTGAAAATGGTAATACTTTTTCAATTATTCATAATTAAAAAAGGGCCTAAATTAATTTACCTTTTCAAATAAATGGATAACCACCATGCTGCCATCTAGTTTCAAATGTATAAATCAATAATAGCTGGAGGCATTAGGCAATGCTGCCAAGTTGCACATTTTCTCCTAAAACTACCAAAAATTTGAAACAAAACAACTAGCAATTTATCGATCGTTTTTTGGGGGTGTAATAGAAATCGGAATCGACAAGGCAACGTCGCGCACAGGCTGATTTTGACGAGTTCAGAGTATTGCAATGGCGGCCGTTAGTAGTGGTCGAATCGCGATGGACCTTCAAAATCAAAATGAAACGCAAATCGGGCCCGTGGACCGTTTGAAAAAACTTTATCCGGCCGTGAACGAGGCGAAGGCTCCGCTGCCTCGCGCCTGGAGCCCCAAAGAAAAGTACGGCTACATCGGACTGTCCCAAGGAAATCTACGAGTGCACTACAAAGGTAAGAGATTTCAAGGTTCATTTTGTCCATTTTCTTTTTGTGCAGTTGGGTTTTTCGGGTTTCGATTTGGATCAGTGTCGATTAATTGATTGATTAAGATTGTATTTGGGTTGTGTCATCGTCTTGGATGGCTTCTGTAGGGACTTCTTTGCGATCAAACAAAGAAATCAGCTGATCCGTTACAGGGTGAAGTTGTATATTGGGTGAAAACAAAAATAAATACCAAAATATTGATTGATTTCAAATACCTATACACAACCAAATTAATAGATATACATATTATAGTGCTAAAACAATTTAATTGTTTCATTTGGTGCCTTCTTGATAAATGACCATCAAAGTTGGTATTGGTAGAAAGTATATTTTGGTTGAAAGCAGAAGCCCAGCAGTTAAAATGGAGAATAAATTCTTATTATGCGTGTTTGTATCTCGAAAACGATGTAATCTGCGCAAGCGATATTTACTTCGAAATAAAATTCTACTTTGTTGAGTAGAAAATGCTTCCTACTACTAAATTGTAAATGGAACTGATTACATTAGGTGAATTCAATTAATTCACAATCATATTTGGTCGAAATAAAAATAATAATCTTTATTTACGTATTTAGCATTCAAAGATTATAATTTTTTTTATACTTGTCAATATACAGGGTGTCCCAAAAAGATACCGACAAACTTTAAAGGGTAGTAAGGGACATCAAAAAAAGCATTTTTGTTTATATAAACATATGTGCGCAAATGAGCCATTTGGACTGTAGAGCAAAAAAACTGTTTAATACTTTTATTCTTTCCAATAATTAAATCACTGTTTACTAATTGATTTTGTTCTATTAACAAATAAATTATGATTTACAATAATTGTTCAAAATGTTGACCATTTACTTCAATGCAAAGGTTGCACCGTCAGGTCATTTACTGTATTCCTTTTACCTGTTAATTACCCAAAGCTGCTCAATGTCAAAAGCTTGAATGTTCCTTTTGAAAGTGCGTTAAGCACTCGAGTCGCTCATAGTGCATCCCCCTTTCCCCTGATGCACCAAATTTGCAGCGGGTGCAAGAAGCCCTTTTAGGTAATGACGGTAATGTTAATATTAAAAAATAATGATAAAATCTGAATTGTGTATTTTGGAGTGATTCCCAGGAGCTTGTTCGGTGTAACTCGAACTCGATGTATAAAAGGAATACAGTAATTAACTTGCAAACCCTTTGGAATATTCCGGGAATAGCTTCTACATGGGTACAACTGGCGAGTATCCTTGCTAACAGATCTTCCTCATTACGAACAGGTGTTTCGTAGACTAAACTTTTCACTCAATGACCCGACGGTGCAATCTTTGCATTGAAGTAAATGGTCAACATTTTGAACAATTATTGTGTGCATAACTTATTTGTTAGTAAAGCAAAATTAATAAGTAAACAGTGATTTAATTATTGCGAAGAATAAAAGTACCAAACAGTTTTTTACAAGGTTTTTTTGCTCTACAGCCCAAATAGCTCATTTGCGGACATATGTTTATATAAAGGCACTTTGCATCGGTCTACGCGTCTGCTGGTCCTATGGGTAATGTGGGCAATTGTGAACCTGTTGCTTTTCGAGACATGGTACATATCAATAAATTATCTATTAACATTGGTGAAGTTTTCAATAAGCTGAGTCACATCAATATAAATAAAAGTCCAGGACCTGATGGAATACCTCCAACATTTCTTAAGATCTTTGCACTAGCCCTATCTAGACCCTTGTGGCTGTTATATAATAAATCATTGTCTGTTGGAGTCTTTCCAAAATATTGAAAACTATCTTTTGTATGGCCGATTTTTAAAAACTCTGGCAACAAGGAAGATGTTGAGAATTATTGCCCTATTACACTATTATCTCATTTCCCAAAGATATTTGAATCACTAGTAAACGATTTTTTAACTGAAAAATCAAAAAATATAATAATTCCAGAACAGCATGGTTTTACCAGTGGTCGATCTATAACAACAAATTTGCTAGTGTATGAACGAGCCATATCGGGGGCCTTGGAAGCCGGTCAGATTGTAGATTCTATCTATACTGACTTCTCCAAGGCCTTCGATAGGGTGAGTCATGCATTGTTGATAGACAAACTTTCCAAATATGGTGTATGCGGTTCACTTCTTCAGTGGCTGTATTCTTATCTTGTAGACAGAAGCCAGATTGTTCTGTGGTGCTTCTGGGCTGCCTCAGCAGAGGGGTCATCTTGCACCACTCCTGTTCTGCTTCTTTATCAATGACATAGGGTCTTGTTTCCATCATGTCCAATTTTTATTATATGCCGATGACTTGAAAATTTTCAAGAGTATAAATCAAGAAGGCCCAGGCAGGGGAATGCAAGATGATCTTCTGAGGTTCCACGAGTGGTGTGTTGAGAACGAGATAACATTGAATGGCAAGAAATGCAAATATATTCAGTTCTCCAGGAAAAATTCTCCCAAACTAAATGACTATTATATAAATGATAATGTTATTGCAAATGTTTCTAGTATTCATGACCTAGGTGTTATATTCGATGCAAAATTGTTATTTTCTGAACACATTTATGCATGTTGTAATAAAGCATTGAAAATGTTGGGTTTTATCAAAAGACACAAAAGAGACTTTAAGAATGTTTCTGCTCTCAAGTGCCAGTATGTGTCATTGGTTCGTTCCCATCTTGGAAATAATAGCTGTGTGTGGTCACCACATTATAAAATTTATGTTGAATTAGTTGAACGTGTACAGAGAAAATTCTTGAGATACATAGGGTACAAAATGGGAATACCTTCAGATTTTATTGATCATGGTCAGCTTTTGCAAAATTTGTCATTGGAAACATTGGAGCATAGGCGTAGAAAATTTGATCAGTTATTGATTTTTAAGTTGCTCAGAGGTTATCTGAATTGCCCTGAGTTGCTCTCGGCTGTAAACTTGAATGTCCCAGTGAGGAATTTTAGAGCTGTGCGCTGTTTTTTGTTGGAGAGACATCATACCTCTTATGGCCAACACACAGCCATTAATCGGGCTATATCTTATGCAAATGAGATGCAGGTGGACATATTTGCTGCGTCTTTGCATCAAATGAAGCTATCACTGTGATATTGTTTTGTAATCTAGTGATTTACTCTGTGATCTGTTTTTGGCTCTTTTTTGTTGTCCTTTCAATTTTTTAATTTAGAAATAATTTATTGTACTCTTCTTAAAATTTTTATTTATATGTGATTTGTTATTAGTATTAATATTATTATTATGGCAATATTTGTAAAATTGGGCTGCTGCCCGTTGGAAGTTGAAATAAATAAATAAAATAAATAAACAAAAATGCTGGTTTTGATGTCCCTTACTACCCCTTAAAGTTTGTCAGTATCTTTTTGGGACACCCTGCATAAAAACACAAATCTTCTGCGATCAAACCTAACATAAACGTCAGAAGCAAGATGACAAACTGACAATTCTTTCTCTGCAAGAAGATCTCAGGCTCAGGTATCAAAATCTTAAAACACATATAGACATCAAGGAATAAAATTTGCTTCTATTCTCAAGAGAAGTACCAGATTCAAAAGCTTCATTAAGTTGTCACCAATGACCCTCACAGTTTACCTATATCTTGATTAGAAATTTCACCCATCTTAAGCCCAACCCTCTTTGAAAGTTTTCTCTCGAGTTTTCTCTGGACCCTTTCCAAATTCTGCCTGTGTACACTATAATAAGGTTGGCATAGCAGGTGAACATACTAAGGCAAAGAAAACTTCCCTCAAAGTAAAAATAATATCAATTTCTCTCAGAACTCTCAAGACAAACCCAACCATCCTCATTGCTTTATTTATGGTTTTACTGAATGTGATAACGTTACATTTAGTTGAAGATTATTTAGTAAATACCATGTGGTAAACAAATTTAGTTGTTCTTGCAAAGATTGACAGTCCAGCACATCAATCTTAATCCTATAAATCTTAGTCATCAGCAAACACTTTAAAATCAATTTATTATCAATAATAACAAACACATTGAAAAGTATTGTTGAAAGGTGCCCCTCTTGCAGATACTTCTGATGTCACTACAATTTCAGATTTTTCATTTTAACATCCTAGGTTGCTTCAAACCATTTGAAAAGAGGGCCAGAAAGTGCCACAGCATTTAGCTTAGATAACAAAATCTACTCTGTTGAATGCCTGATACCATAGAATACTGATACTTATTCTCAAACGCACCCAATAGAGCTTGCTTTGTTATAGTGGATCATCTCCCCTTCATGAAACTGTGCTGTTCATTCATTATGATCCTATTAAGGTGAGGAGGCAAATTAGTGATTCAAATAGTCCAACTATGAAAGAGATTTTACTAATAGCTCTGTATTTTTTGATATCAGCTCTGTCACAATCTTTAAGAATAGATGAAACAAAGGATTTTTTCCAAAAGTCTGGAAAAACTCCTGTACTTGAAGATAAATTTGAAATTTTACATAAAATGAGAGAGATAAAACATATTCACTTTCCCCAATTTTTCTTCATTTTGTCACTTTTATCATGTGGACAATTCTAAACAACTTAAATTATTACAATGTTGAAGCGGTTTTCAATCACTCAGATAAAGTACCCAGAACTTTCAAGATAGATCAAAATATAGAATGAAACAAATACGGAGACAAATACAAAAGTACCTGACCAAAGTCTTACCCAAAAGCTATTTTATTCTCTTAGTTTGTCTTTCATATTGTGTTTTTTTCATTTCTGTCATTTCCTCTTTAATGTTACACTCAAAAATCATCGTATTATTTCGTGCTTGTGAATGTACAGGATATTTGATTATATTTGAACCCATACCTACAGCTTTTACTATTTAGGATAGAAAAAAAATTTAAATACAAAATTTCACAGTTTTTTTCTATACTTTCTTTTAACGTTATCAGAAGAAACAAAATCGCATCGAAAAATGGAGAAACGTAGACAACTTCGACTTTTCTTAATGAAACACCCTGTATATTTTGCGATAAAATGAA